TGTGTGTGCCGTTGGATGATGGGCTCCGAAAGTCCATCTTAGAGGAGGCCCATTCATCAGCATATGCCATGCATCCGGGAGGCACAAAAATGTGTCGTGATTTGAAAGAAAGTTACTGGTGGTCGGGTATGAAGAGAGAAATAGCTGAGTACATCAGCAGGTGTCTTACTTGTCAGCAAGTTAAGGCAGAACATCAGCATCCAGCTGGGTTGTTACAGCCACTTTCCATTCCTGAATGGAAGTGGGAGCACGTGACTATGGATTTCGTGGTGGGGCTGCCACGGACGATTAAGAACTATGATGCCGTATGGGTTGTGGTCGATAGGCTCACAAAGAGTGCACACTTTCTACCTATCAACACCACCTATGCACTGGAGAGGTTAGCCAAGTTGTATGTAGATGAGATCGTGAGGCTACATGGGGTTCCTATAACCATTGTATCCGATAGAGATCCGCGATTCACATCACGATTTTGGCCGAAATTCCAAGAATCCATGGGGACAAAGTTGAAATTCAGTACATCCTTTCATCCACAAACGGACGGGCAATCTGAGCGGGTTATACAGATATTAGAGGATATGCTGAGAGCCTGTGCATTGGAGTTCCAAGGGAGTTGGGACAACCATTTGTCACTCGTGGAGTTTGCCTATAACAACAGTTATCAGGCGAGTATAGGCATGCCTCCATACGAGGCATTGTATGGGAGGAGATGTCGTACACCTTTGTGTTGGGATGAGGTTGGCATGGCCAAACTCGAGAGCACGGAATTAGTGGAGATCACCAAGTCTAAGGTGAAGATGATTCGTGAGAGACTTAAGGCGGCCCATGATAGACAGAAAAGCTATGCCGATAAGTGCCGAAGAGCCTTGGAATTTAAGGTGGGAGATGAAGTATTTTTGAAAGTTTCACCTTGGAAGGGAATCATCCGATTTCAGAGCCGAGGGAAACTTAACCCACGATACATAGGGCCATTCGTGGTTCTTGAGAGGATTGGGGACGTAGCATACCGATTACAATTGACTCCAGAATTGGAGAAGATACATAATGTATTCCACGTGTCCATGCTTAAGAAGTATATGTCGGATCCATCTCATGTATTAGAAAAACCACCCGTGGAAATACAGGAAGACTTGAATTATGCCGTGCAACCGGTGAAGATACTTGACAGGCAAGTCAAGAAATTGAGAAGCAAGAGAGTTCCAATGGTTAAAATCCTTTGGAAAAGTGACCGAGTTGAGGAGGAAACTTGGGAAACGGAAGCTTTGATGAAAGAGCAATACGCGTTTTTGTTTGAATGAGCGTTGTGAATTTCGGGGACGAAATTCCCGTTAAGGGGGGGTGAACTTGTAACACCGACCCCGAGCATATTTACTTTTAGTAAATTATGTAAATTATGTAACACCGACCCCGAAATTTTTACTATTTCTTTTACGCGAATAGTAAATTGCATGTGGGGCCCACAACGGGAACGGGGACCGCCCGATAATTCCCGAACCACATATTATATTCATCTTGGTCTAGATAATATGTATATGGTGGTGGATATTTTATTTGGGCCATAAGAAAGGCATGGAGTTGACCGGTTGGTCAAACGGGGCCCAATTACCGGTATTGGTAATTTAGCGGATAACAGCCCGAAATGAGTTTCGGAGACTCCTAAATTAATGTTGGGGAATATACATCTATTCTAAAGGCCCAAAATTATTGGGAACGCGCGATATATTTTATTTGATCCGATAAAATAAAATATGACTAAAATAGTCCGAAAAATACAACTTTCGGGGCCGATTATACACATCGGGGCAAAATGGGATGACCTCCCACATAAGTGGGGGCCACCCCACGATTTTATGTCTTACAAAGGACCAAAGAAGCACCTAGGGGCGTGCATATTAGGTGGGAAGTCTCAATTGAGACAAAACCCATACCCCCAAGCCATATCCTCCACAATCATATTGTGGTTGATTGAGGAGTATCCCCTACCACACTTGTACCATCCCACAACTCAACTACAGAGAGATAAGCTCTGGGAAAAATCTCCACAAAGCTCCAGCTCAAGGGAAGCAAGGAGGGAGGAGAATCCAAGAAGGGAAAGCTAGGAGTTGGGTAAGAACTCATTAAGCATTTCTTTTAACTAGTTTATGTTGTATGATTTTTAAGAAATCATATGGTGGATTAAACCACGAGTTCTACACGTTTAAAAGTGTAGAATATTGATATAAAGTGGTGGTAATTAACTTAGGAGGGTTGGCCAATCGATAGGAGTCGAAACCGCCGGAAACCGCCACTTCAAAGGAGCTAGTCGTAGTTGCAGACCACGAAAGCCGCCCGGCTTTCGTGAAAGCCGCCCGGCTTTTGCCCAGCGGTTCAGTTTTACACCTCCAATCGGCCTAGAACGGGGATTGATCGAGGGGCTTGGCAAAGGCAACTATTTCAGCACTTCATAAGGTGAGGATGGCTGACTATATTGCTTATAATTAGTGAGTTAATTTCATAAGAATGCCTAAAGTAATTAGATGGGATTTTCATGGATTATTAATGACTAATAATGCCTAAATGAAAATAATATGGATATGAGTAAGTGAAGCATGATATACAAATTTAGAATAATTGTGTATGATTATGTGAAACGAATGGAACGACATGTTAATGGAATTACTATGATGACATTGTGATAAAATATACTTTACTTCATGTATGAAATTCATGAATGGATTAAAGTGATATTTTTTATATTGAGATCAAACTATACTTGGGTTGAGAAATCAATGGAAATGAAATGCCAATTGGGAAATAGGAACTTGGCATGTTCTAAGATTATCCAATTAGTATCAAAATACTAGTCGGGGAATTAATATAAATAAATGATGAAACAAATTCTAAAAGGTAGGATTGTGAATAGATATGCCTTAAGTAGTCTCAAGAGATACTTAAGGATGAATGGTGTGAACACTAAGGTGTGATAGGGGTAGGCCTAAAGGCCACCTACGGGAATTGATTCTAGGCATAGGACTTGCTTGAGAATTTGATTATGAAAATAATTAGAGTTGGACTCTAGGATGACATGGAGATGTAGTTGGGCCGAGCCCATGCCATGTAATATGATTAGCATGGAAACGTAGTTGGGCCGAGCCCTTGCCATGTATATGTGACCTCCGTGGAAACGTAGTTGGGCCGAGCCCTTGCCACGAAGTTATGGTTGGTATGGAAACGTAGTTGGGCCGAGCCCTTGCCATACAAATTTTGATATGATATATTGAGCTAGAGGATTGTATAGGGATGTAGTTGGGCCGAGCCCATTCTATACAATTGGGGCTCGATGGGACCCCACGGGGTTATCGTGACTTGCGGTCACGGGGGAATGGAAACGATGAATTCTAAATGAATATGGGCCTACGGGCCGACTACTTGACTTTATGTAAAGTAAGTACAGTTAAAAGTAAAAAGGGGTAACCGAGGTTATGGCCTATAATATAATAGTACCCTAAGTTGAGGGTCTTGGAAATTAAAACGTTGATTATACTTAGTATAGTTGCTATTGTACTTGTCAAATATTTCCAAGTACTGACCTCCCCTTCACGGGGGAGGCCGCCTCACAGTTTCAGGTAGAACTTGAAGGTTGCTGCCACCGTCCATTGCTTCGGGAAGATCCAAGGAAGAAGACGTGGTTCGTGCTTCTTCCGTTCTGTTTTAAAAACAATTAAATTAATGCTCATGGACACCATTTTATTAATAATTACTTGAGGGCTTGCATGCCTAGTTATGCCAAGTGTGGCTTGAACAATTGTATTAATGCTTCCGCTGTTTTAAATGGATGTTTTACATTATGTTTGTTTATGGATGTGCTATGTGTGAATGATATTCGTGACGCCTTGTATAGTATGGATGAGTTGAACTGCGGTTGACTATTCGTACTGTACGGCGGGTTGTTGACGTGTCCGGCTAGGTCCGGGGCGTGACAAGGACTCCTATTGGAGTACCTTTTCCCATTATCTCACAAAAATGGCTTCCTTTTTTCAGAAGTGCAAATCGTGATTCACTAAGATTCAAATTACAAAAAAGAAAATCTTTCATAATAATGAAAGGGAAAAGGTCAAATAGGCTATCGTACTAACTTAAAAAGTGCATATCACCCCTTATATAGGAGGCTCTGTCTGGCCGTCGCCATTTGAGGTAGTTCCCGATGAATTTTTTTTAGCATCTTCTTCATTAAGTCAAGTTACTCATACCAAATTTCAGATAAAAATTCAACCGGGAAGGCAGTACATTTCAGAAAATCATTTGACTATCTTTCCGGTTGAATTTTTGTCTAAAATTTGGTATGAGTAAACTAGACTTAATGAAGAAGATGCTCAAATATTTCATCAAAAAGTTCCACCGGGAAGCCCCAAATGGCGACGGCCGGACATAGCCTCTATATAAGGGGTGATTTACACTTTCTAAGTTAGTTTCAAGGTCTATTTGACAATTTTCCCATAAAAAAATCCACTTTTGGTCCCATGACTATTATACCACTTCCAAATTTAGTCCCTTACTTTCAGATTGTCCACATTTAGTCCGTGACCATTATCCCCTCACCACCCCTCGTTCTTCGGGCCAAAATTCCGACAAATTTAGTCCACTTATCAGCCTCATAATCAGTCTTTGCATTAAATTTTAAACAAGGTTGGGTTTTTCATATCAGTCTTTGCATTAAATTTGGTTTTTCATACCTAAAAACTGCATTAAATTTGCCGAAATTTGGCCGGAAGGATGAGAGGTGGTGAGGGGATAATGGTCACGGACTAAATGTGGATAATCTGAAAGTAAGGGATTAAATGTGGAAGTGATATAATAGTTACGGAACCAAAAGTGGATTTTTTTCATTTTCCCAAGATGAAATGACAATGTAGCCAAGAAGATGTTCTCCTACGCGCAGTGGGATTAAAAGAAGTTATTATGGGCTTGGGCCGGTTGATAAGCTCAGGGAAATGGTCTACAAAGTATCTGTGGGCTGTAGTAATAATTCTCATTACACTCGATCTTTATCTCTGAATGCAGTAGCAAGAGTACCGGGCGTCGAAATCAAAAACCCTCGGCGCCAAAACCGGTGGGTTTTAATTTGGGCTCCTCGGACGGAAGAGGAAGCGGTCGGCCATGGCGAAGCTGGAGCAGCAGCTTCTCGCGATGGGCTTCCCGGAGGAACTGTCCCGCCAAGCGCTGATCGCCACCGGAGACGATGTAGCTAAAGCCACTGAATGGATACTTGCCTGCACCGATGGCCATAAAGCTTCCCAGGATTCCGGTGATTCTATCCCCGTTTCTTCCTCAACCTCCCCCTTCCAGCCCAAAATCAATCGGTTCTTCCAATCACAGTCAAAACCCTCTTCCGGCAAGGCCCATCACGAGGAAGAAGTGATTGTAGACGACAATACCCCCCAATCACACCGTTTCTCGAAACGGCCCAAATTGTCCGCACACCCTGAAGACGAAAACAAAGCGCCGGCTAGAACCATCCCTCAGGAGCCCTTATCGGAGCGGATGAGACCTCGGACTCTGGACGAGGTGGTGGGACAGGAACATTTACTGGGTCCCACTTCTGTCCTGAAATCCGCCATTGATTGTGGATGTATACCCTCTATCCTTCTATGGGGTCCACCCGGCACCGGAAAGACATCCATCGCCAGAGCCATGCTCAACTCCTGTCTCTCCTCCTCCCCCTCTGTTGCCGGCACCTACAGATTCGTCTCCCTCTCTGCAGTGACTGCAGGTGTTAAGGATGTCCGTGAAGCAGTTGACGAGGCCAAGAAACTAAAGAAACTGTCCAAGAAGAGAACCATTCTCTTCATGGATGAGGTCCACAGGTTCAACAAAGCCCAACAAGATTCCTTTCTGCCCGCTATAGAAGATGGGAGTGTGGTGTTCATGGGAGCCACCACAGAGAACCCGTCTTTCCATTTGACCACTCCACTGTTGTCTCGGTGCCGAGTGTTGACTCTAAATGCGTTAAAGCCTGAGCATCTGAGCACCCTCCTCAGGCGGGCCGTGGAGGATCCCTGCAAAGGATTGGTGTGCGGCATGGGCCCACAAGGGCCAAAGGTCGAGGTGAAGGATGATGCTATCGAGTTCCTCTCAATTCAATGTGATGGAGACGCTAGGGTTGCATTGAATGTTCTAGAAATCTCTGCAACAACGGCATTGTCTCGGTCGAGACTGCCTCTAGTACCAAACATGTCTTTGGGTTTGACCGTGACAGTGGATGATGTGAAGGAAGCGTTGCAATGTAAACACTTGGCATACGATAGAGGGGGGGACGAACACTATAATCTCATCAGCGCCCTCCACAAATCAATGAGAGGGAACGATGCAAACGCCTCCGTTTATTGGCTAGCGAGAATGCTAGAAGGCGGGGAGAACCCCTTATACATTGCCCGGCGTTTGGTGCGGTTCGCCAGTGAGGATGTGGGCTTAGCAGATCCGAACGCCCTTTGCCAGGCAGTAGCATGCTACCAAGCTTGCCACTTCCTTGGCATGCCTGAGTGCAACGTGAACCTTGCTCAATGTGCAGTTTATTTGGCATTGGCCCCAAAGTCGGTTGCGGTTTACAAGGCATTGGGGGAAGCACTGAGGGTGGTGAGGGAGTCCGTGGGGCAGAATGAAGGGGTGCCTCTTCATTTGAGGAATGCACCCACCAAGCTAATGAAGGATCTTGGTTATGGGAAGGACTATATTTATACACCTGACAATCCTGATGCCCCACAGACCTTTTTGCCACCCTCTCTTCAAGGTTATAAGTTCCTGCACCTGCCAAAGTTTGGTTCTGATAATCAATTTTGAATCAACTCCACACTTATGAAGGATTCCAGTATGCCTCCTCTATCGCAGCAAGAGATGCTTGTATCATTTTGGTTCTTTTTGCCTCTTGTTGAATCAATTATGTTGCAACTTGTCCTGTCTTTGTAAAAAACCATAATTGGTCTCACACTGATCTTTTGGTCCTCGAACAAAATGTTTCAAGGAGTAACACTTCAGCCTTCATATCTATTTATTAAATTAAGAGTAGAGTTATTCTTACTCTACTGTTATATCGTATCACCCATTTCACAAACATTCAACTAGATTATTTTTATTATATTCTAAAATCAAGTAGAAATGAAACAGTCATTCATTTGACTAAAATATAATATTATCATTCTTCTAAAAAGATATAAGGATTTCATAATTGATGTAGTTTGTCACTGGTGTAAGCAAATATTAACTACTTAACTTCTACTTTATGAAAATGTTGTCTATCAAAATATGAGTCAAGTATACGAAAAATACTACATAATAATATTTAAAAATATGAAAAAAAAAAGATTATTTTGTATTTGAGTGTGCATTCAAAGGTCTAATTGAGAGCACTTTTTAAATTACTTATTATATAAAAGTATTTAATCAATTCGAATAATAAGTTTTCAAAAGGGGATAATACAACATTGTGTAAGGGTAGTTTTAGCTACTGTTAGTTAACTAATTAGTTAGTTGGAAAAGTTGGTTGTAATCGTTTCATTTGTGAATATTAAGACTCGGGGTTTCATCCTAAAAGGTCAACCTCATAGGAGGAGTAGCCCAAAGCCTTATATAGTGTTTAATTGTTTTATAGCTTTCCGATGTGGGCAAAATAAGAATGTGTATAAATAAGAATGATGATAATGAATAAAGATAGTTTGCCATTCTATATAGTTTTGTTATTCATTTCTTGTACTGTATTTAACGAGTAAAGTTCATGTTACATTGGTATCAAAGCTTGTGATCGTGGTAATCATCCTTTTCCGCTTGAAGTTCTGCGCAATTGACGCCATGGAAGAGAAACTATAAGCTCTCGTCCGGTCTCAAATGCAATTGCAAGAGGAAATAACGCAACAATTCCAACAACTATTGGGAGTTGTAGTGGATTTACGGAAGAAGGTGGATAAAGAATCTTCATCAAACCGCCCAAATATCAACCATCATACAGAAAAGGGGGGAATTCACAACAAATCATTAGGGTATGCTCCTAAATTAGAATTCCCTCATTTTGATGGTAATAACAGTCAGTGGCGTATCCAGCGTGGGGGCAGGGAGCAGTTGCCCCCACTCAACCCCCACCCAACCCCCATATATATATTAAGTGTAAATGTATGATTGTAGTTAAGTAAGAAAAATGTAAACCAATGTTAGAACACATAACCTTCCAAAAAGAGAAATGAGAAGAATTTTTTGGAAAATCTCAAAAGATAAGTGAGAAGAATTTTACGGGATGAAATGAGTAGTACGAACTCGCCCCCTCCCCTCCCCCCCCCCCCCCCCCCCCCCATCTCACAATAATTCCTGGATACGCCACTGATAACAGTAGTATGTGAATAAGAAAAATGTAAAAAGTATTTTGCCTTATATCGAACCCCTGAAGAACATCGAGTTGATATTACTGCATTAAACATGTCTGGAAATGCTAAAACTTGGGTAACAAATTATTTGGTTGATAAAAATAACATAAGCTTCCCAGAGTTCGAGGAGGATTTGACAACAATATTTAGGGCTGAAACCGAGAAGGATGTAGATGAATGATTTAAGAAAAAAGGTCAAATAAGCACTTATATTATTCCAAAAAAATCACTTAAACCCCTCTGCAACCACGCCATATGACCTAATAGCAACCCGCATTAACCGGTCATCCACATTTCCTGTTCTTTTTTCTTTTTTCTTCACTTCACTCCCAACTGTTTCCTCCTACAACGCCCATTCTATTTTTTTTCTTCTCTTTATCTACATTACGTGGTGGTGTATTCTCTCCTACATGTTTGTTTTCATTTTATCTCTTTTTTTTATTCCGCATTTCCCTTTTCATTTTTCTTTTTAGTGTCCTTTTAGCTTTTTCTTCTTCCCTCTTTATTGAATTTTTTTTAATTGAACTAATTTCGATCCCAAACCACAGAACATCATATTTAAACAAATAATACCAGCTCAGACATATGTAATAGTAAAATACACATAAATCAGATGTTTACTAAATCAAATCAAACTAGATTTGAACGATCGGTACTAGAAATTTTTAGTTCAAATAAAAACATAATTTGCAAAGTTAGGCCACAAGTAAAAAAATATCGCACGAAAGTATCCAATTTTACAGATAATAAATGTCTGAAATAGTACACAAGAGTTTCATACAACGACAAAAAATTATGCAATTTTTGTACACATTCAAAATTGTTCATACAACAAGTGTTTCTATAAAGTTAAGCTATAGACAAAAAATGTTGGTCAAATAATTCTACTTTTACGGACAATAAATGTCAGGCACGTTAAGATGTATGAGATATGGTAAAAATATTGTAATTTTTTATACACATTTTTAAAATGCTTTGTACCAATAGTTTTTATTTGTTGAGTTAGAGAACAAAATAAAAAATATCAATCTGAAAATTCCACATTAACAAATGTGCAATTTTTTCATCGTGTTTGAAACATTTTTTGTCTATCGTGGACATTTGTTGTCATTAAAGATTGACTTCTCCAATAGAAGTTTTTGTCTATGGCCTAAATTTATTGACAGAAATTATTGATACGATTTGTTTAAAAATGTGAACAAAAAGTATACAATTTTTTACCTAGTTTGTAACATTTTTTGGTTGTGTCACACTATTGTTTTCTACAAAACTTGAACTTTAGACTAACATTTTTCTTATATACCCTAAAACTTAGAGACAAAAATTTGTAGATGCGAAGTGATGGAGTATATTCTCATATATCCCTGGGGTATCATAATCAGCGGATACAGAGTATATCAATATCCAGTACAATGTTCTATCCGAGGCCGACCTCGACACCCGAGGTCGGGTCATGACAAAAGACCACGAATCGGCAAAGTGTAGGACCGCAACCATAGATGCAGGTTTAAGAACTCTCACAAATGATTTTAGAGATGATTTTAAACCTCCAATAAGACAGTCCAAAAAAATACTTTTGAGACAAAGGATGAGTTCATTTTATCACTCTTAAGTTCCTCAAACTCATCTATATAAGCATCAACGAAGGACTTCTGTTAGCATCTATTAATTCTTGGAAAAGGGGTCAAATAAACTCCTATACTATTGTGAAAAGATCAATCCAAGTTCATGTACTAAAAAACCATCATATGTACTAGTAAAATACTATCAACTAAATCAAATGACCGGAAAACAACCTCCAATAGAAAGTTATCCTCATTTTTGCTTTTTTCACTTTCTCTTGTCTTGCTACGCACTGCTCCGATTGTTTTACTTTTTGTTTGTTTTATTTTTTCCTTTTTTCTTTCTTTCAATCTTGGCCTAGCTATCTAGCTTCTGTTGGAAAATGTGTTAAAAATTGCATTAAATGGTCAATTTGGGGCAAAATTTTGAGTGGGATCCACTTCCGATTTGGATCGGGTCAAAGTGGTTTCGGATTTTCCTTGTTAAGGACTACAATTCGATCTATGGTACACTCAAAACGGATAATGGGTGAATGGGAGTTTGATTCTCAAAGTTCACTCGTTGAAATGGAAAAACAAGGAAAATAATGGGTTTCTAGTGGGATTTATCCCACACCGGAAAACCCAAGGGATTTTCACCTCCTTATAAAGGGAACCCTCTTTGAAAGAGTTAAGATTTCTATGGGGATAGGCTCTCTTCGCGCGCAGGGGGGTGCCGATCCAATCCCAAAAATGGAGAAGAAATATCGCGACTTGCGTGCGCGGGTGACCTGCAGACACAAATGTCGTCCGAAAATCTATCATTCAAAGATACAATTTAATCTTTTAATGCGGCGTTAAATGGACAGTTCATGGACGATTCAATGCCCAACAGACTGGTCCTTGATCTCCAACATTCAGGTCCTTTAACTCTCACATTAACACACAACAAATCATCCTATAAATAGTTGACAGGTGCTTTGCAACAACACATGCAATCATACACAATCTGCACGTTTTCCTTCAGCTAAAATCACATCCAGCTCCCTGAAAATTTCCTTTGTGTTCTTCTTGTGTTTCCATTCACCGGGACTTTCGTTTGGATGCTCAAACGTTAGTTCGTTAGCCACCGTATCATGGGAAACGGTCGTTGCAACGCTCCTAGTACCGTGGGAGATGACGAATATGTTTTAAGGACGTCGTGCGTAGCACGAGCTCTGGCTATATTCTACTTCATCCATTTTGTTTTCTTTAGTCAATTTATTTAATTAATTTTTATTAATTATATTCTTTGTTTTTCAACTCCGCCATGATATCATTTTTTTGGCATCATGTCTGTCTCAAGCCAGGATAAAGAAGGAGGGTGCTGTGGTAGGCGTGTGACGGCCAACAGTATCACCTAGTCACATCGCATGACATGAATCAAAATATGAATATCGTTAATGCTAGGTCGTCACCCGTAAGAAAGTGAGAAGAATTCGAGTGTGGCTAATCTGTCATCTTTTCTCTCCAAAGAATATGATCGCATCATTACACACCTTCTAGAGAGCCAAGGAGTGAATATCAATTCACATAAGGGTTGGCTTGCTTCTGAACAGTGCGGTACAAATAAGAGGGATGCTGAGTTTAATACTAGTTTCGAAGCAGCTCGAGCGGATAGGCTCTTTGATCACTTGGATTTTTCAGATTGTGATACGATGGAGGTGGACTCTTCGAGGGGAATTTTCTTAAGTGATCAGCACTCTATAGCGCTTGATAATGAGACTGAACAAAGCTATCCGTTCTTGGGGGATGATTTCCTTGGCCATGCTTCACGAAGTGAAAAAGGACCCCTCTGTCATCGAGGGAAGATCTATGGGATTCTGATACTAATCAGGATATTTGTAATAAAGCGAGATTGGTCACAATGGAAAATTGTTTGCCTACATCGAATTTAAACACTCAAATTAAACTATACAAGAAAAGGCACCGGCGATCGCATACCATGAGGACTAGATCCCAATCACGAGTGGGGTTCAACCGTCTAGATTGAGCTATTTGGGTCTCTCGGGGGATTTTCATTGTATGTAATATAGGTCCGGTTATTTCTATCTTTAATTTCCGTTTCGTTTTTTTCTCTCTTGTTTTTTTCCTTCTTGTGTAC